AAAGCTGCTAATTAAGAATAAGAAAAAATAGTGGCAACTGAGAAGAATTTACTGATATTTAAGCATTAGGAAAAATTATTATTATATATGTCATGAAACATAAAATTATTTAACAAGTTAAAAAGCAGCATGCTAATACATCTGATAATTTGAAGAAACCTCCTGAATTTAATGACTTCTGAAGTTGATCAACTACCAAAACAAAACTGGGGAATTAAATCTCTACATTTCAAAAAAGAGTAGATAAATTTCCCTTTAGAAAGAGAACGGATTAAAAGAAAATGAGGAATGAATATGAAACTCCACAATGAAAGAGCGGAATGTGCAATGACTTCTAATTAGTTAAAACTTAATAAGAAAGATTTATAAGCAGCTAGGAAAATGTTCATGTTAGCAGATGATAAATATGCTCCTGCAAGTATGATAAAGACATTTTGCAGTGGTCTTCTTCCAGATTGAACACCACTGAACATCTATGTGCTGAGTTAATTGAGCCATTATTCAAGTCTTCTGAAAAGATTTTGCTATTGTATTACAGTGTTAACTACATCCATAGATGATCACCCTCTTATCTACAGGATCTGAGAATCATAATCAAAGTTGGTTGGAAATGGCTTCTTGAGGTCATCTAGTCCAGCTTCCTGTGCAAAGCAGGGCTCTCACTAACACCAGTGGGTCAGGTCAGCTGTGGCCATGTCTCATCCAGTATCTAAAGCCTTAACGGAGGTGACTCCAGCAACTCCTGGACAGCCTATGTCAGTGCTGCATTACACCCCAGTGAGGAAGGTTGTCCAGATGTCCAGCTGGGACCTCCCGTGCTTCAGTTTGCAGCCACTGCTGTCTCACCTGCTGCTGCAGAGAAGAGTTTGGCTCTGTCATCTCTGTAACTGCCCAAGTAGTTGTGGGCTGCTTCTAGATATCTCCTTGACTACCTCTTGGTGTGAGTCAACAAAGCCAGCTCCCTCAGCCTCAGCTCACATGTGTCCCAGCCACCATTATAGCTTTGTGCTGGACCCCCATTCCCTTCTTCATATGTCTATCGAATTTGGGAGTGAGTGGCCACCAAACTGAGCACAGTTTTAGAGGTGCAGCCTCACAGTGCCAGTAGGTGAGATATAATAAACTCCCTCGATCAGTGGAATTTGTTTCACCTTTTTTCTCCATTCTTTTTCTCTACCAGTTTATAACACTTCTGTAGTTGTACTGGATTAGTGCAGAGGAAGTGAGTGACTGAAGCAGATTTGTGTTCCTCTGGTCTGTGATTCAACTGCAAACTTTTTTCTCTTCTCAGAAGCACCTCAGATATACATTTCCTAAAAATATATAAGGAAAGTTGAAATAGGTGGCAAGGTTACCTTAGCACAGAGGGATCAATGAACTTTAAAAAGATCTTGATGCCTCGTAGATGATGATCCCAGAAATATCAAAGAGGTCATAGCCTTAGTATTGAGCCTTGCCCAGAAGGCCTTCAGCACATTTGAAATGGCAGAGCTAAGCTGGACACAAGGCAAGTGGTCTTTCTGGTGAGATCACATTGTTTTGGAAGAGAACAAAAAATATGATTATTTATACCAGCAAGGCACAGA